TCCTTCCTCTCTAACCTTTTTTTTTTTTTCCTTCCCCTCCCCCATGGTCTTCTGTTAAGTTTCTCAGGATCCATTAGCTAAGTTTTTAAATAGATGGGTGTGTACATGAGGTTTTGCATATATACCCACAAGTGGAAAAGAAAGAATCTGGAAAGATGTATACCCAATTACTTCATTAGTCATCATTTCTAGGGGTGGATTTATGAGCAACTTTCTTACTTTTTGCTTTTAATTTTTGTTCCTTTTTCTTTTCCCAGAAGAGCTTAGAAGTCAAATTCTTCATTTTTAAAAGAAGCAAGCAAAAAAAAAAAAAAAAACCCTTGTGCCGCTCTCAACAATTTAGTCTTATTTCTATGAATGCTCAAGGATCTCATATACAGTATCCTCCTAAAAAAGCATATCAGTACTGAATTTGATTTTTACATTAAGACATCCCCAGGAAGTGCTTTAAATTATTTTAACTGCTTCATGCCCTGAAGATAGAAATCTTCTGGCTCTAATTAACATATAAGGATCATCTATGGCAAATCTTATCTTTTTCTTGTCTTTCACTGTCATTTCTGCGTGCATGATTGTATGTGTGTCTATGCACACAACTGTGCACACATCTCTCTGTCTAGGAGGAAAAGCCAAAGAAAGGAAACAGGAAATAGGCAAGAATGGTAGGTGAAGGACCAACGTAAGTTAATGTTATACAGGAAAGTAAGTAAATTCATTTCTCAAGGTGTTATTTATCATTCTATACTACAGGAACCTCACCTGTTGGGTTAGGGGATAAGTGACATTCTTAAAAATTCTCTTTTATTCTAGTTTATGAAAAGATAAAGCCCGCCTAAAAAATTTAAGTGTATATGATTTATACTTAGTTGTGAAACTTAAGCACATTTTTCCTTACTACTGACAACAGGTATCTAATTATTGTACCAATAGTGACGTGTTAAAATGTATATATAAATTGATACATTTCATTTTCATGTACTTAAAATATTGGGGAAATGGAGATCAAGTAGAAAGAAAAATGATGATTCTTATAATGTCTCAGAAATTCTAGGTCTTATATGGCATAACTCACAGTTATCAAGAGAGGAAAAAAACATACCTATCTTTGTCTTCTCAAAACAATTACCTTATCTAGCCTTGAAATCTCCCTACTTCCATCCCAAAGTGCCTTTCTCCAATAGCTCAGAATAAAAAAATAGATCTAATATGAAGAGAAGTACCTCTAGTAAAAGACTTTTCCAATTTTTGAAGTGTGTGTATGCATGCACACATAGCTATGTGTATGCACACATATGTGAGTATGTGTGTGTGAACCTGTTGTTGCTACAGAGGCCATGGGAGAAAATAAAGTCCCCCCAGAGCCAACTCAGAAGTTAATAGGAACAATATGTCCAACACAAGGTCATCCAGAGTTCTCAAAAGACAATGAGGTGTTAAGTACATCTTGTAGCCATGAAAATCCAGGACACAAATGAGCAAGTGATGAAGTTTGCTCTGAACACAAGAGACAAGTAAGTATATTGATATAAAATAACTTTCAATAACCATTCCTTTGCTCCCAGTCTCCATGAAATGCTATTTATCCTTCAGCAGAACTTACTATTACCAAATGCAAATGTAATGAAGCCTGTGTGAAGGCTTGTGTATGAGGTGTGGGAGGATGAAATCCTACTATTTTCCTTTCAATATTTTGTTTTTAAAAACCTTGGAAATGAATTTAGTTAAAAAGTAAGCAGGCATGCTTCAAATCCAAAACTGTGTTTTTCTTGTCAAGTACTGCTCTCTAAAAAGTACATCACCAAACCCCAATAGAAACTTACCCTTCAACTTGAGGTCAACGTTATGTCTCAGCCAAGGGTAAACCCCATAGCTTGGCATATCTTCAGGAATTGGATTATTCTGTATCCAGCCATCACAAGCGAACCGGAAGAAATTATCACAAGGGTCCACAGAGAGATTTACCTTACTCAAGATAGCAGCAGCTATTTAAAAAGAAAATCATAGGATTAATGACAAGCACTGAACACTATGTACTATTCTCTTCCAAATTAAACAACAATTTCACATGAACCAGCTTCCAAGCCTTGGCTTTTACTTTTCCTCTCAAATGAGTCCCCAAATCAACTTCACGATATGAAATTACCATAATCAGAATGAGTAGGTAAAAGCTTGGTGGTATTTATGGTTTTTGCAGCACTGCCCCTAACATCTGTGGGCCATGGGACATGAATACAAACGGAGCCTTTGGTATACTGTCTGCAAAGATGTGTGCAACATTTCCTTCCATCCCTCTCCTCTTTTTGCAGCGTGATTTTGTGACTCATTCCATCAAGTGATAGGATCTACTTCCCCTGTCAGGAATCTAGGTTGGCCTTGTGACTTACTGTGACCACCAGAATATAGCAGAGTGACTGTTTTTGAGTTTCAAAGCTAGGCCTTAAAAGGGCCTTGTACCTTCCATGTTAATTCCCTTTGAATGGAGCCCTATGACAAAGCCTCCTAAAGGAGGTGAGGCCACACAGAAACTAACCAAATCAGCAGACTGAAGCCATCAGGAACCTTCCAGGCCAGATGACCCTCCAGCTGAATACAGCTGTATGAACGAGCGTAGGCAACAGCAACAGAGAAACTCCCAATGAACCCACGGAAGCATAAGAAATAGTAAATCACTCATGTTTCAGGACGCTAAGGTTTGGGGGTAGTTTGTTCCACAGTGAAGGCTAAGTGAAACAGAGGCCCACAGGTCATATCTAAATCTCTAAAAGATGTATTTACAATATACCTTCATAAAGACTTGGAAAGCCAGGTATGCATTCTTGAGCCCCTGGATATACAATGTAGCTCTCAGAGGAATGAACTCCTGGAAGAGATCCCCATGGGCCCTGCAGGGAGGCTCAGGGCCGTTTAGCAGGGAATTCTGGGTTATAAAAGGATATGACTGCTGACTTGGCCCTGGATTCAGGGAGAGGCACGGCCAGAGGAAGGCAAAGTGGGGCAGTGTAAATGAGGGCAGGGCCCTTCTTGCCCAGGAAACAGGACAGAACTGAGTATTTGTGTTAACAGAAAGACACAATAGACTGATTTACCATTTCTTCCTCTTTCATAAGCCCACATACAATTACACGTGAAACATAGTCAATAGATAGGAAGTATGTGCATACTTAAATATGTATCCATGAGCTTTAAAAAAATCTTTCGTTAAAACATGAGAAGGTTCCAAAACTCCTAATACAGAACTCCAACTCTCTTCTGTCACACAGCTGCTGGCTACCACTCTAACACAAAGATATGCACTGATTTAAAACACAAAGTGGCCAATATTTCAATGACATTGGAAAGATGACATTCTGGGTAATTTTCATACTTTAATTAGTGGCAGAGTATATTTATTTGAACTAATAAAACCCAATGAGTTTTCAGCTAAATAAGAAGGAATTGCCCAAAAAAAGAATAATCTGCATAAATTTATATATGCCAATTATCAGTTTGCTACATGTGTCCTCCAGGTTTAAACCTAAGGCTAGAGCAGCAATTTCTCAACACATCTCCAGAAGTAAGGGAAACAAAAACAAAAATGAACTACTGGGACCTCATCAAGATAAAAAGCTTCTGCACAGCCAAGGAAACAATCAGCAAAACTAAAAGCCCACTGACAGAATGGGAGGAGATATTTGCAAATGGCATATCAGATAAAGGGTTAGTATCCAAAATCTATAAAGAACTTAGCAAACTCCACACCCAAAAACCAAAAACTCCAGTGAAGAAATGGGCAAAAGACATGAATAGACACTTCTCCAAAGAAGACATCCAGATGACTAACAGACACATGAAAAAGCTCAACATCACTCATCAGCAGGGAAATACAAATCAAAACCACAGTGAGAATACCACCTCCCACCTGTCAGAATGGCTAACATGAACAACTCAGGCAACAACAGATGGTGGCGAGGATGCGGAGAAAGAGGATCTCTTTTGCATTGTTGGTGGGAATGCAAACTGGTGCAGCCACTCTGGAAAACAGTATGGAGGTTCCTCAAAAAATTAAAAATGGAACTACCCTACCACCCAGCAATAGCACTGCTAGGAATTTACCCAAGGGATACAGGAGTACTGATACATAGGGGCACTTGTACCCCAGTGTTTATAGCAGCACTATCAACAATAGCCAAAGTATGGAAAGGGCCCAAATGTCCATCAATAGATGAATGGATAAAGAAGATGTGGTATATATATACTATGGAGTGTTACTCGGAAATCAAAAAGAATGAAGTCTTGCCATTTGCAACTACGTGGATGGAACTAAAGGGTATTATGCTAAGCGAAATTAGTCACAGAAAGACAAATATCATGACTTCACTCATGAGGACTTAAAGATACAAAACAGATGAACATAAGGGAAGGGAAGGAAAACTAATATAAAAACAGGGAGGGAGAACAAACAGAGGGTTACTGGAGGGGTATGGCAGGGGGGATGGGCTAAATGGGTAAAGGGCATTAAGCAATCTACTCCTGAAATCATCACTTCCCTATACGCTAACTTGGATGTCAATTAAAAAATAATTTAAAAAATTAAACAAAAAAAAAACCCTAAGGCTAGATATTTCTCTGGCCTAGACTTGCCATAATTTTCAACAGCTTTTTGTCCTCAATAAAGTGAATGATATACTAATATCCTAGTTTCTGTAGGACTTCAAAATCCCCAGCACTTCACCCCTTTCCCCCCAAAAAAGACAAAGAAAAAAACTGGTTTAGAAGTTTGATAAATTTAAAACTGGTTTAATATTTTCATCTTCCAGAATTAATTCAGTGGTCTCCAATTACATTTTTACTTACTGCTACTACTTTATCATTAATAAATATGCAAATAAGCTAGAACATACAAGATCTTTATTTCAGTTTGTATTCATGATGATTCTGGCTGTATAGCCGCAGAATAAATCTGCTACATGACACCCCAGTGACATCGATTATACAAGTTTCAGTGCCACACAATATTTATAGTCACACACAAGAACCCTCACAAACATTTTTATTCACATAAGCACACTGCTTTCTGGCCACCTTCCCAAACCTCCCTCTGCCCCCAGCCTCAAACGTATTCTCTCCCATCTTCTCAGTATTCGTGCAGGTACCTACCAAAACTGCAGGATCCACTCTGACCTCAGCCCCTGACCTAAGGTGGGGGAATACATCACTCACACAGAATTTGGAAGTCAGCCCACTGAGTAGGCAAACTCTAGTTTCAACCTCCTAATCCATCATTCAGAATTCACAGCTGGGCACAGGGCTGTGCTTTCTGCAGGACAACTGAGACTTCAGGGGGACCACAGTTGTCAAGACACCACAACTCCTTTTCCCCTGCTCAGTTCCATGGAGAAAACCCAAGAAGTCTTGTTTTAATAAAAGAAACATGATGATCAAAGAAAGCTGTGAAAGACCAGGCTATGTGTTCTCTTTAGTTATTGCATATAAGGCAAATGACTATGCAGTCTCTTACTAGTGTTTATGTAGAGGTGGAAGCATCACACCCCACATACCAGCCTGAGTTTTCAAGTTTAATCAAGGCTTAAGAGAGAAGGTGGTGGCGGTAATAATGAAATCCTTAATAATGAGCATTTCCTCTGTGCCAGGAACAGACCTTTTCAGTACAGCATCATCTGGAGCCAGACTACCTGGGATTAAATGCCAGCAACATCAGGGGAACCTGGGTGGCTCAGTCGGTTGAGCGACCGACTTTGGCTCAGGTCATGATCTCACAGTCTGTGAGTTCAAGCCCCACGTAGGGCTCTGTGCTGACAGCTCAGGGCCTGGAGCCTGCTTCTGATTCTGTGTCTCCCTCTCTCTCTCTGCCCCTCCCCCACTCATGCTCTCTGTCTCAGAACTAAACATTAAAAAAAAAATTTTGGGGGCGCCTGGGTGGCTCAGTCGGTTAAGCATCCGACTTCGGCTCAGGTCACGATCTCGCGGTCCGCGAGTTCGAGCCCCGCGTCGGGCTCTGGGCTGATGGCTCAGAGCCTGGAGCCTGTTTCCGACTCTGTGTCTCCCTCTCTCTCTGCCCTTCCCCGTTCATGCTGTGTCTCTCTCTGTCTCAAAAATAAATAAAGGTTAAAAAAAAAAAAATTTAAAAAAAAAAATTTTTTTAATAAATAAATAAATGCCAGCAACATCATGCACGAGCTATGTAACATAGGGTGCCTGGGTAGCTCAGTTGGTTAAGCATCTGACTCTTCATTTCCACTCAAGTTGTAATCTCACAGTTTATGGGATCAAGACCCACATTGTGCTCTGTGATCAGTGTGGAGCCTGCTTGGGACTCTTTCTCCCTCTCTATCCACCCCTCATCCACATGTGCTCGCTGCCTCCTTCTCAAAAAATAAATAAACGTTAAAAAAAAAAAGACTATGTAACCTTGGGCAGGTTACTTAACCTCTCAGTTTCCTCATCTGTAAAAAGGGATGACTGCCACAGGATCTTCATCAGAATTAAATGAGTAAATACACATTAAGTGTTTAGAGCAGTGTCAGGCATACTGCCAAATAAATACAGTTGCCAAATAAAATACAAAATGCCTAGTGAAATTTGAATTTCAGATCAATGACCGCATTTATACTTTAGGTACGTACCAAGTATCTCAGGGGACATGTACCAAAAAAAATAGCAGTTGTTATCTATCTGCAATGCAAATTTAACTGAGCATCCTGATTGTACATATGTAGCTAAAGCTGGCAACCATACATATAATTTTTTGCTATTACCATTCCCTATTTATCTGAAACTATTGAGGTAAGATAGGTTTCAGAGATCATAGATTTTCAGATTTTCCAAAACTAATACAGTGCATATAACCACAGATAATTTACTACCCCCAGCAATATTCTGGAGTGGCACTCCTGAATCAAGCACATTAATAATTCCACAAGAAATACATGCATATTTTCCAAAATGGGATAAACAACACCCACAACAGCCTGACATGAATTAAGATCTACTTTTGCCATCCCAAGAACTGAGATCAGGTCCAGTCTTGCAAACTGACAGTTAAAATGTTCTCTGGGTCTGGGGTTAAGAATTACACATTGTGGACCCGGATTACTTCTACAACTGCTTCTATTCTCACAACTAGTATTCTAAGTAAAAACCAGTATTCCCATTTCACAGAGGGTGAACAAGAGGCTTAGGATGTTTATATAATTAGCCCAAGATCATGTGGCTTTTAAGTGGCCACATCATGCTTCAAACTCAAGTCAGCCTGTCTGCCCTTATCCATGATTAATATGCCCTTTCCTTGACATCTTTCTCCACCTCTTAATTTGAAAGCGGGACTAGGAGAAGAGGATATGGGGAAGAGGAGGAAAAGAGAACTAAAGACAGCAGATATCTCAGAAGGGGGTGGCACCCGTTCAGAAAAGGTCCAGAAGGTGATCAGTCACTTTTGTCTTCCATCGTGCAGAGCTCACACACGTGGCACCACCCCCCACCCGCCAGACACACACCCACGCAGGCTCCCTCACTTGCCCTTGTTCACAGGCAGCCCCTCCTCCATCGCCCACACACGTGCAAGCACGCACCCCCACACAGGTCCCGCCCACGCACGCACCCACTAGGGCACCTCCCCCCCCTTGCCAATGCACTTGGGCCCCAAACCTTCCCACCTTTTCTCATTTGAGAACTTCCTTGGGCCACATTTATTCAGTGTATACTTAACAGCTGTTTTGCAGGCCCCTAAGCACAGTGAAGCTCATGTTACACTGAAAAGGATGTATCCTTGGTGAGGCTTTCGTCACAGAAACAGAAAAATCAATAATTTTTTCAATATTAGAAAGCCATTCGCCAACGTGAAAATTAAAAACAGAACAGCCAGGCAAAACACACTAGCTGGCAGGAGGCGACATTATCAAATGTCATTCTGTAAGTTTTCCTCTTGCATTATTACGATGTGTAAATAGAGATAAAACACATGCAGTAAATGGCTGTCCATACAAAAAGTTGCCTAAACTCAAAATGAAAAGTTTTTAGTTCAAAAATTTCATTCTCACACATCTGCAAGGACTGTACCACAGCAAAAGTACAAGGTGACATGAAGACTAAAATCTGATTTCTGACAGCCCCACCTGGTGCCCCACTCTACTCTAGGTCATCTTCTCTCCGCTGGGAAACTCTAGGTTAGCTGCTCAAGGTGGAAACAGGAAAGGGCGTGGGAATTCCCAAATCGTTCTTGCCATTCCTGGGATGAGATCAGGAAGCTGAAACAATTGTCTAGTCACCTCACACTAGTAGGTCTATAGTATCGTGAAAAAAGAGCAAGACAGGACCAAGGCCAAAGAGTTTCATGGCACGGCCTTAGGGCACCAAAGCAATGATGGAGAGCAAACAGACATGAAGCCAGCCTGCTAATTCAGGAGGTGACCCTGGGCAAGTTATTTAGCTTCTGGAAGCCTCCATATCCTCATCTCTAGTTGGGCCTGGTGATAGCACTGACATCACCAGGTTCTAATGAAGATTTTATGACATGGCACCTGTAGGTCTCTTAACACAATGCCTGGTTAAAAGATATATATCGATCGATCAAGAATAGGACAAAAAAAATAACATAATTGTCTAATCCATTACCTTTGTATAAGGCCGCTGAATCTAAAAGCTTTCACCTGAATCTTCTCCATCTCAATCACTGCCACCTCTAAAAATTTAAGCATTACCTTGCTTCTCTGCCTTTTCTCACAACGCACATCAAATCCTTTCACAGCCCTCTGGCGCCTAAACCCTGTACACTGTGCCCTTCCATCTCAGAATTCAAGACAGCCTCACCTCTCCTCTGGCTTACTGAAATAAGCTCCTGCCTGACGACCTTCTTCCATCTTGCTCCCTATGGTCTCTTCACCACCCAGAGAGACTCCGCTGAGATCTTTTTAAATGCTAATAAGATCATGTCTCTTCCTCAAAACCTTCCAGAGGCTTTTGAGTACACTTAGGACAACCCCACAATCACCGGCACCTGGGTTCCCCACTGACCCTCATCACCTGCCCTCTTCCCCTTCACCCAGTAAGTCCTTCCGCTCCGGGACCTTTGCCCCAGCTGTTCCCCATACCTGGAAAGCCCTTTCCTCGATCTTCCCACAGCACGTCCCTTCTCATCATTCAGGGTCACTTCAGCATTACTTTCTCAGACTTTTCAGTCTAGCCATCCTGTCACTTGCTATCACAGTGTCCTACTTTAATATTTTGATTTTCTGCATAACATTACCACCAGTCGGTATTTTTCTTGCACAGTGATCACCTCGTGTGTATTGATGGTCTTTCTTCCCCTACCTGGTCATTCACCTTCACTGCTACCTCAGGGCCTGACTTGCAGTAAATATTTGGCAAATTAATTCATTAATCTCTTAAGAACAAGAGGAAGTGGAAGGGCCATGTACTTAATTCCTCCTTATGACTTTCCCCTTGGAAAATAAATTAGTGTTCCTGCCACTTAAAGAACGGGGTGGGGGTGGGGGTGGGGGTGGGGGGTGGGAGGCTGGACTCTGGGCCCTGCAAATCTAGACCCTAACCCTCTTCCCTACAGACGGAATATAATAGCTGTGGCAAAACTGAGGCAACTTGAAACCCTCATATTCACTGTGGAGCTCCCACTGATACATGGCCCAGTCACCTCAAAAAAAGCTTGACTCGCCAGGCCCTGAAGTGATTCCGTGTGACTGCGGAAGCACAGATTTACAGAGGGTTCCTGCTCGGAGGCTGACAGGTCAGACCCACTGACCAAATGATTCAGAGAGACTGCTTATGGTAAATAGGGACATGTATCGAGCTGAGGCCCAAGGAATGCCGATGGTCTCTCTGTTCGGGTCTTAAGAAAGGCCATCGGGCCTTCTAAAGCCCTTCCCGATTTCCATACAATGACTTGGAACACCGCACAGCTGTTTTTCCGCCAAGAAAACAAAAACAGGAAACCTGCGCTCCACAACTTCACACTGAGACTCGAAAGTAAACTTTCAATTTCATCAAACTTGCATTTCGTACATGGTAAACCTCAAGCAAACAGAATACTAAAAATACCACCTGTTTTCTCTTCCTCTCCCCAAGGTACCATAATTATATCTTGACACAGGAGGGAGAACTGACTTACCAGCTTCGATGCATTCCGGCTTCAGGCAGTACTCCTGTTTGGCTTGGAGACTTAAGAAACCTTGACTCACTGAAAAAACAGACCAAAATAAAGAAATGACTGGCTGATAGCAGAGCACCATCAGGTAACCCACAGTCAGGCACATATGCTAGACACGTGATGTCAGTTCATCCTTCTGAGCATTGACACAGAATTGAAAAATCCACTTGGCTCATTATCTCAGGGCCAGACTCTGGTCACAAGCTAAGTAACCTTGGTGAGCCTCTTGGCTGCTCTGAAATTCAGTTCTCTGGAATATAAGATGAGGGGGTACAATTAGACCAGTGCTTCTCAGAGTAGGGTGTCCAGGCATCCACTGCCCCCCACCCCAGCTCTTTAGAAAGGCAAATTACTGAGCCCCACCTCTGACCTGAATCAGAAACTGTGGGGGTGGGGCTCAGCCATTTGCATTTTTGCAAGCCCCCCAGGTGATTGTGATGCAGGCTCAGGTGTGAGGGCCTCTGGGCTAGCTGATCTCTAAAGTCTCCTTCATCTCCAATTATCCGTGACTTAAGTCTCAGAATTTCACTCTTTTTGTTTACAACTACATTCTCATTTTAGATGGGAAAAAAAGTGAAACTTACCAACCATACCATTAGGAGCAAATCCAGAGTGGAAGAAGAAAATTAGCATTTCAAGTTCTGAATCTTTTGTGAACTATCCATAGATCTGTGAAGGGGTTGGGGGAGTACACTGGATATTATTCAGCCATCTAGCTCAGCATAGCTATTGGACAGAGGCAGCATGTGGGCCAAGCTTCCGACTACTTCCACCAGAACAAAACAAAACCAAAACCCTGCGAGATGGAATTAGCTTTTCACCAATAGCTTAATTTCACCCATCTGGCTGGCAATATTATCTAAATGGATGTCTGCAGAAAGACAGAAGGGTGCCCTGTTTGTCAACTCCAGGCAGCACCTGGGCATTAGCAGATGTGGGTTTAGATTTCAAAAATATTCTTGGTAGCCAAGGAAGTTAAGGGGGGTTCATTACTGCTGTACTCTGTGAGCAGAAATAAGGAATCATTTGGAGATGTGACCGTGGGGAGATGGATGGTGGAGGGTGAAGGGTAGCCAAGGCTTTCTGTGGCATTGTCCACTGAGAAGCAGGATCAGAAAGCATAGCGGTACCGATATTTCTGCTAGAAATGGAAGACCTGTACATCTGTTGTCAGTTTGACGATTTGTATTCTTTATTAACCCACACTGTAAGAGGAGCCTGCTTTTTCTTTGTTCTTTGCTGCCATCCTCCAAACAGCCTTTTTACTTGTGATACAATACAGATACAAGAAAACTGCCTATGGAACATCTCGGGCCTATTTTTAAGAAGTATCTTAGCATAATGGTGTGTTTTGATTTCTTTAAAGAGCAAAGAAAAGTTAGATAAAAATATAAATGTGCAGCATAAACATTAGTATGGAATATTTTCTTAGGACTGGGTGAGGGAACCATGGGGGACGTTTTCCCTTCAGTCTACTTCTATATGTTTACCAAATGTTCTTTGATGAGCCTGTGTTATTTTTTACAATGAGAAAATAAGCCTTATTATAAGCAACATTGTTATGATTACGAACAGTACCACCTTGATACTAGCCTTATCTTATTTGTTTAGAAAAAGCTAATGAGGGGCGCCTGGGTGGCGCAGTCGGTGAAGCGTCCGACTTCAGCCAGGTCGCAATCTCGCGGTCCGCGAGTTGGAGCCCCGCGTTGGGCTCTGGGCTGATGGCTCGGAGCCTGGGGCCTGTTTCCGATTCTGTGTCTCCCTCTCTCTCTGCCCTTCCCCCGTTCATGCTCTGTCTCTCTCTGTCTTAAAAATAAATAAACGTTGGGAAAAAAAAAAGCTAATGAAATGCTGTACTTAAAGAGTTACCACTTTCATGGAAAAGAATTCTTGACCCAAACCCTCTAAGGAAGCAGAACTAGGTATCTTTATCTGAATATGAGTAAAAGGGAGGTTTAAATTAAATTAATTGAGATGCAGACAGACCTCACCCCTCGAGGAAGAGCATTATATCCATGCAGGGTTGAGATCCCACAAATAAATAAGGATCAACAAACCCAGATAATGTGAGGGTGCAGGTGAGAGACATCAAGACAACAAGGAAAACATTTTTAATATAAAACATGATAGTGTTACTTTTTACTGGTTAGGTGCTTTAAAAAAAAATTTAAGAACAGTTTGGTTTCTCATTTTAGATTTTTCTGTAACCAGTGGAAATGACCTCAGAATGCAGTGGAGTCATCCACATATCGGCAGCATGAGAAGAACCATAAAGCAGGGGCTCAGCATACTATGGTCCATGGGGCCAAGTCCAGTCTCCTGCCAGTTTCTGTACAGCCTGTGAGCTAAAAATGATTTTTATGTGTTTTAATGGTTGGAAAAAACCACAAGAAGAATATTTCATAAAATGATCTGAAATTCAAATTTCAATGTTCAGAAATCAAATTATATCAGAACACAGTCATGCGCATTTGTGTACACATTTGTCTGTGGTCGCTTTCTTGCCACGACAGGGTCAAGTAGCAGCAACAGAGACTGTATGGCCCAGAAAGCTGAAAACATTTATTATCTGACCCTTTCCAGAAAAAGTTTGCCCACCATTGCATTTGAGAAAGAGACTGTGGGGATGAAGAGGTGAGGGAGGAGGAAAAGAAAGGACACTTTAAAATAAATTGATTATTGGCATATGGTTATACCTGTTGTTTTAAATTCTATTGCTGTAGCTTCTCTGAGACCACCCCAAGGCCAGTGGCAGTCGCTCTTACTGTGGAAGGACTAAGATTTAGGGAAGAGATTAGCCCAGAACCTAAAATGCAAAGAGGGATGCTAGAAATTGCAGGCCTGTGCCTGAAATTGAACAGACAGAAAAAATATCAACCAGCAAGCACCTTGAGGAGTAGAGGACTTAACCAGAATATTGTCACACAGAGCATTGCCTTTCAGGTCCCTAGATATTTTTAGACGAGGACTTCACTAGGTGCAGGGTGGAGGTGGCTGGCAGAGCCTGGGGGACTAGGCAGTAAAGAAGGGTCTGGCTGAAGGAAGGCTGAAACAGTGCAGAGATGTTTGACAAAAGCTACTAAAGAATGTGCATTTATCTTAAAGCAAATATCCCCAAATGTATACATCCAAATGGACGTGGTCAGCTAAAGCAATGCTTCTCAAACTTTAATTTGCAAATGAATCGCCTGGAGATCTTATGAAAACACAGATTCTGAATTAGTGGGTCTTGGGCTGAAGCGCAGGCTCCCAAATGGTACTGATGCTGCTGGTCCATGGACCGCACTGAGTAGTGAGGGTGTCGGGAGGCCACACCTTTATTCTCTAACATCATTCAGACTGCTCTTAGAAATCTGCAGTAAGAGCCAGGTTACTGGGCACACTGCAAAGTTATTTTTTTTCTGCTTTATGCAGGCCTCCTTACCCATAATAGCATTGCCTGGCTTCATGAACTTTACTATGCTCTAAAACCTTTAGAGCTGTTTCCAAAGAATCATCTCCTCTTAAAGAACAAAGATTTGCTGCCATGGAGAATATTCCAACTAATATGGAACAGCCTCAGAATGTAATCATAATGGTGGAATTTCAAAATGCTCAAGCAATAGTAACATCGTTAAAAACAGCACATATTTTTCAATAAGCAATCATCATTGGGATTTTTGAGTGTAGGAGTGTTCACAAAACACAAATAGTCTAACTTTGCACTCACTTCCCACATCCTATGTAGTCCCTTGGCATGCCTGTATCATTTTTCCTCCTGTTTGTACTTCAGGGTAGGACACATCTAAATCCCAAGTGCCGAGAAATCTCAGAAAAGTGTTTGAGAGCCACAAATTCAGTTGCAGGAGTAGGAGGTTAGCTGTATATTGAAAGCAATAAACCTATCTAATTTCCTAAATCTTCAGCCACAGAAAACATGGAAAGGTGGTTGGCTGCTTTTAGCAGAGTTTTCAACCCCAGAGCCCTAACTATTTTAAAGTTTAATCACTGATTTCCCTTGCCAAAACAAACATGGCCTCCTGAAACCTGTACAAGCCAAAGAATGTTTCCAGGCTTGCTGTATTTCAGACTGCACCTAAACTCTCCTAAATATAGGGCTTGTTCCTATATACCTTTCAAGCTAATGAAATAGTATGGGCTGTATGACAAAAACACAAAGGGTAATAATCAAGGGCTCAAAATGCCTACAATTTTAGAACACCTGTGTCCTCTTTCCAAGACATTTCATTCTTATTCATAGGAATGTGCTTTTCATCACATATGCTCTCTGGGTACATCATTCTCACCAAGAGTTATTACAATAATTAAATCCCAGTACCTTTCAAATGCTGGAAGGAAAACCTGTTTTCCTTCATATTAATTTTTAAATCTACTAGAAAGGCAGAGTTAACATTTCATCCCACCAGAGTCACTGGATTAGAAAGGCACTGAAGAATATCATCAAGGTTCATGTTTAAAGACTGCTTTGTATTTTTTTTTTTTTTAGTTAAATTTCATGATTCGTTCAGGCAAACATTAACAAAAATCAAAGGGGCAAAAAATTCCAGCATGGTTTTGATCACAATGTAAAAGTCTCTCCTCACAAAATAAATGAAAGTATCTGACTATGAAATCACAAACATTCATTCTGCTAAATATAAAATGTAACGCGTAAAGAAAATGTTTGCCCAGTACGACCGAATCCTCCAGCCACCGGAAGCCACTTTATACCCATTTCACATTATGGACTATATGCCTCGTGCTTAGGCGTATTTATTCATTCCGCGTCCTAAAGAAAAGGCCCCTTTCGCACTTGCATATTTAATAGAAGCTAAGGCCACACCACCTACTAACACGTGCAAGCGGCCCCCCACCCCCTGCCTGCATCCTGACAAGGTTTGCCAGGATAAAGCACAAGGACACTTAACTGCACTCGCCCTGTTCCCTGGCCTCACCGCCCCACTTACCTAGAAAGAGGATCGTGCCCAGCACCAGAGTGCCACCAATGAACACAACCAGGGCAATTCGAGTACCTCTGTTGGCTGTTTTTCCAGGCTCCGTGCTGCTCCCCATTTCTGCTTCCATCAGGAGGGACGTAGAGGCCACGGGAAGAGAAAGTCACTTTTTGTGGTTTGGTGGCTGGTCTCAAGAACCTGTGAGGCGTTGACATCCAAGGTCCTCTTGCTCTTCTACTAAAAGACAGCTTTAAAAAATCCCGTCAGAAAATCTTCCCTCGCCACCCTTTCTCAAATATTTCTTCACAAATGAAATAAAAGAAACCCAAAATATTGGTTGCCTTGGCTTTCCCCCTGACCAGAAAAAACAAACAGTGGTTGCTTTATCTTGGGGCTCTCCCCCCAGCAAAGTCCCTCTCAACCGATTGTTTGGCAGGCTCTTCTCTCAGGCGTTCTGAGTGTACATGTTTTACTATGCTGCTGAACAGATGTTTTAGCTATTTAAATGTATAGTCACTTGGGGAGGAAAAAACAATTGTCTTTATCAAAACTGGATTCTCATCAAACTCTTCCAAACCATGATAAGTTAGGTGGCAAGGATTCTCCGGACCCACTTTAAGGTCTCAATGAATCACGTAATTCTTTTGCAATAATCATTCTGCTCGCCTGAATTGTCTCCATCAAAGATATTGTTTCTGTGTGCAAGTCCCTTTTTAAAGCCCTCTAAGAGTTCCTGGGATATCCTGGAGCATTTTATTTTAGGAACTTTGTGTATGACGGCATGTGCCAAAAATCAGAGTCACAGTCCAGTGCAGTGCAAAGTAGCAATTAAGACAACCTACGGAGGCTGATGGTTTTGACTGGAATTTTTTTTAAGGAAAAGGAAAAAGCATTTCCTCTCTGTGGTGCTAGGAATTGTACAGAACACGGGTAAGTGATCGAATTAGGCTTATTAGCAACCACAGAAGAGATGGTAAAAGATTTTTTCTTCCCTGCATGTTTTGATGGAAAGTGCCCCCAGGTATTTTGTCCTCCAGTCCCACGGAGGGAGCCATTGGTTCATAGTTTTGTGTTTACATAAAATGCCCATTTCAGCAGATTCTGCAGGATAAAATCAAAGGCAATTTGTCTCTCTGGAAAGACTGAGTTAATGACTGGGTCTTTGATTTCTTTAATTATGCTAACAATTTAAATTATGGCAATCTGCTTTCTTCATGGGGAAGGGCAACTGAGATCCCAATGCTATTGAAATGATACCGATTTTATTATCCAGTGATACAAATATCATTAATTCTCAACACAATTACTACTTATCTGCTTTTGTTTCACTATAGGTCACAGTGGGGGTGGGGGTGGGGGTGGGGGTGGAGGCTCAGTCTGAAAACCAGTAGAGCACAGTTCTCATGCAAAACTTGTGCCCATGGCCTTGTGTGTCACACCAGAGCTAGCAGACGCTGGTGAGCCCAGTATAACATGGCCACGTGTTCATGGTCCTATCCGGCTGGTCTTGGTCAGGTCTTAGATCCTTAGCATGGGATTCTTCTGAGGTTTATTCCAAAGCACATCCTACCTTACTTTCTGCTCATTTCATGTTGCTCCAAAGCCAGAAAAGCATAAGCGTTTGTCCAAATTATGACATCACAGTATATTGTAGATACTATGTGCTCATTAGCTGTTGATGTTATTTTGTTGCTGTTACACCATACACATCTTAGCAGGCCTTTGGCTCCTAGGATGGGATTCTCAGAAGAGTTTTTGGACTTGACTCCATAGTACTTCTTAAGACTGTGAACTCCATGAAGTCAGGAATCATGTCCATCAAGTTCAATGCTACAGCCCCAGCACCTACAGCCCATGGCCCATTGCAGTGAAGGGAGAAATAAGAACAAGGAAAATCAGGCAAGTTAGCTCCAGACATTCACTCTTAAAAAGCAGCTTCAGGAAACTCAGATGTTAGTGTCTGGGGGTCTCTCAGGCTCCCAATTCCTTCTAAATGCTCAAATGATAACGATACATCACCTAGGTGTAGCACTTTCATACCCCTTTTTAACTTCATGGTAAACTTACGTGCTTGATGGCAAAGGTATTTTTTTTTTTATCTCTGGTTTGCAAATGACAACACTGAGACCCAAGGACCAGCCTCAAGCAGCATAGCAAACTGAGGAAAGGGAAAGCTGGGGAGAGAGGATCACTGCCATACACTGTTTGCTGCTTGAGAGAGGTCCCTGTGCACATGGGAGAGGCCATACACACAAACGTGACACCAGGACCCACCTCTTCCAGCTTTCCTTTCTTCTCTAAGTCTCCTCACACCTTCTGGGTCCAGACTAGCATGCAGTGGTGGCTGCTGGTTGCTGGCTGGGGTAGCCTTCACCCACCTTGGAATGGTGATTTCCCCAGAGGTGAGGACAATGGGGACTCACCCTGATCTACACCTATCCATCACTTAACCACATGAAATCATTCCTGAACTCTCAATTGCAAAGTGAAAAGCCATTAAACCAAAAAATACTTCCATTAATTGTAATAGGAAAACTACGATGCAGTCCATCCCAAACTAAGATATGCAAATGCAGAAAGAAAATGTATTAACTCAACAATGAAAACAAGCCTATAAAAGTAATCACTTTTGCGGTGTTGAAAATAAATACAGTTTGTTCATGTAATGCAAGAAATGAAGTTTTATTTTACTCACCAAAGGAATAAGGAAGACTTGAGAGTGGGTGAGGATTGGTAGGAGAAATGGTGCCAGTGAATCACCCATTAGAAGGTGCAGTCTTCATTCTGTGCCATTTTCTGCATTAATTTTTCTACCTTCTGGGAGAGGTCAATTATCTTTCACTCAAACTACATTGAAAAACACATTTGTAGCACAGACGGGGTGCCTGGCTGGCTCCGTCAGTGGAGCTTGCTACTCATGATCTCAGGGTTGTGGGTTCAAGCCCCGCATTGGGTATAGAAATTACTTTTTAAAAAATCTTAAAGAGAAAAGAAAAAAGTTGTAGCTCAGAAAAAAATTATGGCAAAATAAAGAAGTTCAAAGTACAGAGAAATATAATGAGTGCTTACAAGAGACAAAAGCAAGGGTTTGCAATCTAGGGCACATGGGCCAAATCGGGCCCATTGCCTATTTTTGTAAATAAAGTTTTATTGAAATAAAGTCACCCCCATTCAGTTACATACTGTCTACGATGGCTTTCATGCTACAAGGTCAGAGTTGAGTCGCTCTGCAACACAGATATGACCCATGAAGCTTATTTACTCTCTGGCCCTTTACGGAAACCATGGACTAAAGAGCAATAGAAGATACTACCTACGTGGCACACATACAGAAAGCAGAATGTTCACTCGCACTCAGGCGGCTTCTCAAAACCGTTCCATTTGATGTTCTCTGAATACAAGCTGTCGTGTTAGGGAAATTGGTCAATGTGTCTTTGTCTAAAACTGTATTAAAACTATGGCATATTACTTAGTGTGTTTTGGGGTAGAGTGTCATACTGGGATAAAAAAGGAGGATGTCAAAAAATTTTATAATTTCTCAAGAGCTGTGAAAATTAGTTAACTGAAAAGTCACTCTGCAGGGAAGTCTGCTTAATAATCTGGTGTGCACCCACTCAATTGTTTCAATTAAGAACCTTCAGGATCGGGGCACCTGGGTGGCTCAGTCAGTTGAGCGTCTGACCCCTGATTTCAGCTCAGGTCATGATCCCAGGGTCATGGGTTCCAGCCCTGTGTTGAGTATACAGCCTGCTTAAGATTCTCTCTCTCTCCTTTTGCCCCTCTCCTCCGCTCACAGAAGTTGTCTCTCTAAAATAAATACATACATACATACATACATACATAAATACATAAATCTAAAAAAATATTTTTACAAGAACATCCAGGACTATCTGGAGCTTTAACTAGAATCGGTCAATGGAATCAGCAGAAATTTCTTGAGCATTTCTCAGGTGCCTGGCCCCGTACAAGGCCCTGTGAGGGAAGACAAAGAAGCCATGCCAGAGATTCCAGACTGGCAAACTGGGCTCAGTCACAAAAATATGCAAAACCCTTGGCAACTTAGTCACAGAACACTAAAGGCCAACAAGTGTCCAGGGAAGTAGAAATCCCTGAAGGCCAGATTTGTTGGGGAGACTTCCAGGGGGACCCGCAAGAACGGACAGCTTGAGGGGAAAGAAAGGCTTCCAAACAGGCCAAAGCCGGCCCCAACATGGGACTTGCCTGGGCATTTACATCTCTCCCCGCCGGACTCACAGGTAAGATCATTTATCCAGAAGTAAGTGAATCCCGCAACCTGTGCCCTGCCTCAGTGGCCGGGAGGACAACTGAAGCTGAGTCTTTATGCTAGACGAGCGCATCTGCTCGTTACTTGGCTGTGCGGGGTCTTCTGTTTCAGGCAGTAAAATCCCATGTGAGCTGCAATTTCAGTGAGGAAAAAGGAAATTCAAAACCTGAAACATGTATTCATCCATCCCCTGGAAGGAGGAGGGAGAGAGGGAGGGAAGAAAGAGAAGAGCTAAATGCCGAAAACTCGAGAGCTGAGGGCTGTGGCGGAGCTCTGTTACTTGTTGGCAGGTCCTTCAGACTAGGGAGGGTTCCAGTCCCAGGCCTTCCACCAATGAGACTCATTACTTACATTATCTCTGATCTTTTTCAACATCTTTCTTAGCTAGGTGTTCTGTCTCCTTTTACAGATGAGGAAACTGAAGTTCGGAGCTATTAAGTGATTTGCCCAAGGTCACACAGCAGGTATTTGTCTCAAGGCCTGAGAGGTTTCAAATTCCAACCTTTTCTCTCTGCCCTGTTACTTGATAAATTTGCTTATCTACCTCAAGTAATTAGTGAAGGTGGGTGTAGCATGTCAAAATGACTCTTGAGACCTAGAAAAAGCGATAAACTATGCCTCCTGTAATTCTCTTGTTGAAAAGACTAATTATCAGCTCTTATTTCCTTAACAGGAACAGCAGTCATCATGAAATATGAGGAAAACCTTTGTTCAGTTGGGCAACAAGAATAGCAATGCACAAAATATCTCCTGATTTGCTGATGCTCATAAGTGAACACTAGGACAGGTATATAAATATGAAAGGCTTTCTATCCGTGTATTGTACTGTTCACTTCTGAGCCTAAAGGGGAATTTCATTTCTTTTTCTCTTTTGATTTTATAACACTTTTTTAAACGTTTATTCATTTTTGAGAGAGCATAAGTTGGGGAGAGGCAGAGAGAGGGGAAGACACAGAATCACAAGCAGGCTCCAGGCTCTGAGCGGTCAGCACAGAGCCTGATGCGGGTCTGAAACTTGAACCGCGAGATCATGACCTGAGCCGAACTCAGATGCTTAACAAACTGAGTCCACCCAGGCGCCCCTGGGGGGATTTTTATTTCTTGATTTTCTCACACCCTTGGCCATACAGCTTCTTCAGTGCACATTCACGTCATGTGTATTATCCCCAGTCCTTACAGCAGTCTTATGGTATAGGAATCTTCTCTGTTTTACACTCAAGGACAGGGAAGCTGTCAGAGGATAGGTAATATTCCCAAGGTCACATGGTGGGCAAATTGTCAGTGCCCAGTGGGAACTCAAATCTGTCGAACTCTTGTTTGGAAATGTACCCAGGATTTGTTTTTAACAGGTATAGTAAGATGACAGACACAGAGAAAAGCTTTGAAAGAACAGTTTATTACTCGCAGTTTTTGAGAGGAAGGGGCATGCCACGTCACACAGGGCCACATGGGGAAGCACTGGGGTTGGTCAGGTGGCAGAAGGAGCAAGGGGAAAGTATGCACAAAAGCCTTTTATTGTGGTTTTCAAAATAAGAAATGGGCAGGCAGGTTAAGCAGCTGAGGCAGGCTTAGGAAGGTAGAATTTGAATAATGAATAATGTCAGCAGGTGGTGGTCTATAGGAGGGGTCTCTAGTTGTCAAGCACCTGGCCTTGGTGTGATTTAGGTTCTGGGTGGATGATGTCCTGGACTGCAGGAGCCTGAGAAAAGGAGGCAGGTGAGGGGATGGATGCAGAATTGGTTGGTTTGCATTTCTCTCTCTCTCTCTCTCTCTCTCTCTCTCTCTCTCTCTCTTTTTTTCTTAAATGGGGGAGGGGCAGAGAGAGGAGAGAGAGAGAATCCCAAGCAGGCTCCTCACTGCCAGTGTGGAGCCCGATGAGGGACTCGAAACCATGAACCGCAAGATCATGACCTCAGCCAAAACCGAGTCTGCCGCTCACCTGCTCACCCGCTCACCTAAACCACCCAGGTGCCCCAGGTTGGTTTGCATTTCAAAGGCACGCTACAAGGCAAGTCATTTACTATCTCTAGGAATTAGCTAATCTGGGAGGCCCTCCCTGCGGGTCCACTAGGCCCAAAGATGTCAAAGACTCACAAAGTATAGAAAATTAAAGACATGAGTAACACAGCTCCAAAACCCTTCAGACCTTTCCCAAAACATTCTACTGCATAGCATTCTACTGAAATGTAATAACTGTTCATCCAAGTAGTGTTTCCATGCTACATCCTCAAAGTGATCAGATCCACCCTGACCCCTTGGTTAGACTACTAGGATACAGAAGTTTGTATGCCTTTGATTAATTACAGCCAACGGTTCAAGGATGGCTTACTCGGATGTTTAATGAAAGCAAGAATCTCCTGGAAGCCTGGTTTAAACACAGATGAGTGGGCTCTATCCCTCGAGTGTGTTTCAGTAGCTCTTGGATGGTCTGAAATGTGTATTTCTTTTTTTTTTTTTAAGTTTATTTATTTTGAGAGGAGGGGAAGGGCAGAGAGAGAGAGAGGGAGAGAGAGAATCCCAAGCAGACTCCACACTGTCAGCGCAGAGCCCAATGTGGGGCTTGAACTCACAAACCATGAGATCATGAGCTGAGCTGAAATCGAGAGTCAGACACTTAACCAACTGAGCCATCCAGGTGCCCCTGAAATATGTAGTTCCAACAAACTTCCAGGTGATGCTAATGCCGTCGGACTTAGGAGCACATTTTGAGGACCGCCGGCTTAGAAACACCATTGAATCTTTCACTAAGGCAAACTGAAGAACTAACAAAACTAAACATTAAACTTATGTAGCGAACCCAGGGATGACATTCAAAATATTTAACAAGATTTAAATAATTAAAGAGCCAACCTGTTATGACTTGGTTAAAATAACATTTGTTAACTAGAACACAGGGTGCTAGATTGTGAGCCATGGTTCAACAAATGACTGCAGAAGAAATTGAAATGGAGAAGTTTCTTACTTGCCCAGCATGGAGGTCGTGGAGGACGTGCTCGGCAATGCCTCAGAGCAGGACATGGGGAGGTCAAGGCAGAGCACACAGAGAAAGAGGCAGGACCTGGGCACATGCCTTCATTAGGCCCTGTGGGTGGAGCGCTTTGGGGTTCCCAGGCCAAGGCCAAATTGGTCACTTCAAACTAAAAAGGGCAGAATTGCTATAAGCCTCGAGGAGGTTTATCTAAGGGGCACCCTGAGGGGCGAGGGCGACCATTCCTCGATAAGGGCTGCTGGGGAAATCCGATCAGGAACTTACATGTGTCTGTGATCCTGTGGGCTGTTATCCAGGGCATGTGCTTGCGTGAGGGGTGAGGGTCAATGAAGGTCCCCACGGGCTGCTTGGCCAAACAAAATGGATGTCTAGGCAACAGCACCATGGGGTAGCTTAGCTAAACGCTCCAACAGGCACTACTTCTTAGCTGCTGGATCTGCAGGGGCCCAGGGGAGGGGCTGGGGTGGATGAGGCTGCCAGGAGGGCCTGGAGCCATTGCCAAGTAAGGACGCATTTCAATAGTTAACAACAGCTACAGCCACACCAGCGGGAGCCAACTGAATTGCGTGCGATCCTGAGTCAAATTTCAAATGAACTTATGATGGTGCTTTAAGGCCCTTCGGCAGCGGCTGT